CGTGAATGAAGAGGCAGCCTGAAGACTACTCCTGGTTTCCTCTTCATCTCCAGCCCTGGCCGGAGCCGGATGCACAAAGAAGGCTGAAGGAAGGGGTGAAGGTTGGAGACCTGGGTCCCTCTCCCTCCGTATATTTTCAGCTCGCGGCAGGGACCCCGGCAGGAGAACGCAAGTGCTGCGGCCCTTGAGGGCAGTTGCGCTCTGTGCCTTTTCTGTGGTTGCTCTCACCTCTTCATCCATCCAACCCCGGACCCCAGCACTGGGCACTGGGTGACACTGACTACTAGGACCGAGAAGCTGCGGTTTTGCCCGGTGTCACACAGGCGCCAGGCGTCGGTTCTCCGGCCCTGTCCGCCCCATCATGCATTCTTTCGGGATCTTTGCATAAACATGGGGGTTTCACATATTTCCTGAGTGGTGCAAAAGCCTTCTGGCCACTTCCTCTTTTGTGCAAGCTGTCTGTGGACACAGCTCCTGTCTGGTTTTATGTTACGGTTTATAGACAATCGCTTCCTTGGAGTCAGGATTATTTCTCTGCCTGGAATCTAGATGGTATCATACAATACCATATCGGGCTCCTCTTGTGGCCAGGAAAGCTAGATGTTTTCCCCTCTGGAGGTTGGTTTTTGTAGCCATCGTGGCATAAGGATGTCTCATCAGTTGAGGAAAGGTCCTTTGATAGTACTGAAAGTGTGGTACTCATTGCAAAAGCTCCTGAGGTTTGGCCTGGGGCTTCACAGATGTGGGGAGTGTCCCCGGACAACCACTGGCTCGTTTCAGCTTAGCCTTCTGTGATACATTCTTAATGGCAAAAATAAAGATAAAAGCAAGCTATTGCATGAAAACACAGACTGACCTTGAGCCTATTATTAATGCTCATAGCTGGTGTTTGCTTGGTTGGGAGTAAAAGAAAAAAACAACTCAAATTGACTTAGACAAGAAATGAATAATCCAGCCACCTAAAAGTGCAGATTTAGGGCTAGCTTCAGGGAAGGCGTGGTCTAGCTTCTTTCTCTACATTTCTTCACTCTGCTTCTTCAGGGTGAGCTTATTCTTGGCAGCCTCTCCACTCAGGACCCCAAGATACTAATAGACCCCAAGACTACTTGATTCCAGGTTGAATGCAATAGGAAAGAGAAAGTGTGCATTTCTAGCACATTCCAGAATGGACATAGGTCACATGGCAGCCTCTCAACTCAAAACTGGAATGAGAAGGAGGAGTCATTTGGTTGGGCTAAGCTGATCTGGGCCTGGGCCTGAGTTATAGACTGGAGTTGACTCTACGCAGATGGAGCACTGTTCAGTTGCAGGGGAGGGAAAAAGTCAAATGTCTGTCACGCCTGGCACCCACAGAACTGGATATGGAGCACAGAGGCTGGTTTTTGAGATATATATTTGGTAGTTTATGTGTTTCACACTTTCAAAATATCAGGGTTAGTTTCCATTTCTGGTGGAGGTAGGCACCAGGATGCCCATGAGTCTCAGGCCTGCTACCTTTTTGTCACATGGTGCCTGTCTTGACCAATGTGCTATGGGTTGAAGCATTCATGTTGGGGTGAGACCCAGTGGGGCTTTCTCTTTCCCTTTGCTTGCTATTATAAGCATCTGGGATGGAGGCTGTCCCATCATGAATGACAATGATGGGCCGACTCACACTGGGCAAGTTCCATCAGCAAGAAATAAACTGGGTGAAGGCACAAAGACTCTGGGGTTGTTTGTTACTGTGGCTACCCAGTGTGCTGCGTTTATTAATCCCCTCAGATTCTCTGAAAGTTGCTCACAAACATCCTATACTTGTGCAATTCTTTCAACTTGGCAAAAATGTTTTTACATTTATGACTGCATCTCCATGATAGTCCAGTAATTATATACGTGAGACATATTAGTACCGTTTTTTCCCCAGTGGAAAAATTGAGGTGAACTCCCTAAATGCTCTGTTTGTTAATTTACCAGTGCTTTGTTTTCTTAAACAATACACTTGTGGAAGAGAAGGAGGAGGAGGAGGAGGAGGAGGAGGAGAAGGAGGAGGAGGAGGAGAAAAACAGTGTCTGGAGAATCCATGTAGCACCTAGCACTCAGCACTTAGCACCTAGCACCTTTGATGCCAGTAGAAACCAGGCCAAAAGCCATGACTTAGTTACCACCCAGATGGGCTGGTTCACTTCTTGTCCCCATGATGAAGCAGACTCAATCCAAAGGCTGAGATGGGCAGAAAGGAGGACATCTGGGGCCTAAGAGAGAGGATGAGGCTGGAGTACAGACAGGTGAGCATGAACTGGGCTGGGGAGCAGTTTTCTGGAATCTATACTCAGACATTGTAGTCATTAGAGTAAGGTGGAAGAAGGAGAAGCAGCCGATTTTCAGGAAGACATTCCTTCATGGGATTTTTATTGTAAAAGATTCTAGAATCCATGGTGGGAAGGAAGGTGGCTCTGAAAGGGTGGTGCTGAGGATCTCCAGTGTGGGATATGGAGTGAGTTGCACTGGTGTTCGACTGGAAGCCCATGGTTAGGGTCAATGAAGTGACTAGATTGGAATGCGCCTGATTTAGGGCCCACCATGGCTCACGTTCTCTGACACAGCAATGGCAGTGGAACTGGTCTTCTTTTGACTGGAAAACAAAGTAGGGGGAAGTAGATGGCTCCAGAGCTTGCCCAGGAGGGGGAGCCCGTGTTCCTTGGTCCGAGTGGAAGCTCTGCCAGGCACCTCATCTGTGACTAAATTACAACACGTCATTGCTATATGTCAAGCTGAGTACCGAGGAGAAAATTGTCATTGGTCTTGTTTGGCATTATCACGCTGTCCCACATAATTGGCTCTTCACTTATATTTTGCACATGAATTTCTGAAATTCCTGCTATGAATGAGACTATCACAGATATTCAATCTGTCCTTTTAGCAAAATGCAAGCTTAGCCTCTATTGAAGTTTTAACTAGAAGAAAAATTGAAACAAAATTAAGAATAGAAGATACTTTTGGCTATCTGGGTTTTCTCCTTAGCTTCTGTCTTCTGTATTATTTTTTCCAAGTCCTCTCTTAAGGAAAACATGCAATTGACAGTTCTCACAACTGCCCTCCCAGCCCACCCTGTTTACAGACAGTTGTCATGGTTACAGTGCAACACACCAACTAAGTCGGAAACTCTTCCCTTCATCTTCTTATTTTCCCACAATTTGCTACCCAGAGGTGGACACCTTGATTGCTAGTGAATGTTTAAGTGGTCACTTATCAGATGATTATATTTTCTTTAAACAGGTAGCAGTGGTCACTAGGAGCTTAAACAAGTCACACTAAAGCAATCTCACTTAAAAACGTCTTATTCTGGGCATGTTGATTCTGAATTTCAGCAGAATATGCAGCTCTAAATTTCCCATGCTGTGTTTGTGGATAAGAGTTAAGCCATAGAGAAATGTGATTAGATGTGTTTCTAAGTGGTTAAATAAAACATATTCAGTATGTTTTCTGTAATCTCTGAAAAAAGGTGTTAACATCAATCTGTGGAGAAGTTTCTGTTAGTTTATCACAACTTTGGTTTTTTTTTAATTTTAATTTTAATTTTTTTACAGCTTTGTTGTTTTAATGAATTTTTTTTTTTGTCTGTGGCTCTGTTCTTTTTAACGTGTTTATTTACCTGTGGTCTTTGGAAGCCTATATAGATGGTATGTTTTTGAAATTTTGTAATGACGCAAAGCTGGGAGGAACATTTAACATTTTAGTACCTTAAAGGTTAAAAATGCAGCACATGCTTGTAATCTCAGCTCTCTGGGAGGTGGAGGCAGGAGAATCCTTAAATTTGAGCCCAGCCCTGGCAACTTAGTAACTTATGAAGACTCTGTCTCAAAATAAAAAATGAGAACTGGGGATGTAGCCCAGTGTGAAGGCCCTGGGTTCAATCCCCAGCACCACAAAGGAAAAAATAAAATTTTTTCCCAGTTATCTTGGTATAATAGAAACATATGAAAGAAGTTGTACATTAATATTTGAGAAATTAACTGTAAATGTTTAGGAAGGTAAATCTGATTTAACAGTGGTTTATGTAGAAATTACCTAGGGATTTCAGTTGATCAAAATTCAATATGACTACACAGTGAGACACAACCCACAATGCTAATGAAATTTTAGCGCTTGTTAATATAATAGTTTAGAATATGAGATATTCAAGTCTCTACTGTACATGGATTGGTTGAGCAGCCCTATAATTCATGTTTGCATGTAGGTGCTGTCATAAGATGGATGCAGAGAAGTGGGGAGGGATCTGGAAGAGGCTGACCAGAAAGAATTGTTCACACAGCTAGTCGTGGAGAAAGCTGAGGGGTTGGAAATGTGGATCAGAGGAGAGGAGATGTGGGGAAGTTCTATGGGAGGTTTTCAAATATTTGAAGGTTACCAACATGGAAAGGCCTTAGACTTGGTCTCTGTGACCCCAAGAGTGGAACTTGGCATACAGCAAGATGTTGTAGGGAGGCAGATTTGGGCTTCTCATCAGAGAACTTTCCAGTAATTCCCCTTCTGAAATGGGTACTTCTGGCCTTGGAAGGAAGTGAGTTTCCCCACACAGGAGCCCTTTAAAGACAGACCTAGGGCCCCTCCAGGCCCCTAAAGGGATCATGTTTCAGGAAGGTGGACCATTGATCTCCACCAAAGTTCCTTCTATCCCAGTTCCCCAGCATGAAAAATACCTGTAGTATAGTAGGCACTCAACCAGTGTCTACCAAATAAGTGAATGTTTTTAAGGGTAAAAAAATCTGAAAAGAGGACTTTTGGACTCAATGTAGTTTTTAGTTTTGGCTGATTTTGTGGTACCGAAAAGCCATTTCCCCTAGTGTTAGGAGCATGTCATGGTAGGGAAACTGGGAGTCTCAGGGCCTCAGTTTAACATTTCCCAGATAACTGGCTCATCTTTTGTTGCTCTGGCACAACTCATGCTCAACCTTGTAAGTTTTAGCACTATAATGAGCAATGCCTTGCCTCAAACTTACCTGATGCTATTTCTTTTTCAGGATAATCGTATCCACACATCCAAATACAGCATCATCACCTTCTTGCCAATTAATTTATTTGAGCAGTTCCAAAGAGTGGCAAATGCTTATTTCCTTTTCCTTCTGATATTACAGGTAATGTATTTATTTCCTCATGATCTATTTATTAAAAGTATTCATAGAATTTGAAAAAGTCTGTTAATTTACTTAGCTCAATGTTCATGACTAGGTAAAACCATTCTTATCAGATTTTTAATGTTATTTTTGCTGTTTCTCTTCACAAATGTGGGAGGGCTAGGATTGGGTAAAAACTAGTGTATTAATCATTTTAAACACCGAGGTCAGACTAAAATGTAGGCTTGCACTTTATTTGAACCAAACCAGAGCCTAATAATTACTGTTCAAACCTCCTTCCTTCATCTCCCTTTCACGTCAACATCACAAAGACTGCAGAGGCCAAGAATCTTAGCTGACTAAGCCCAAGAAGGTTGTGGGGCTTAATTTGTCAAATTTCATTTTAATTTAAAAACAATGACACATTTTATGTATACATAAAATAAATTATGCAGGGTGTATGTTATCTCCTGCAGGGTGACTGATTTCACAGTTTTGAGTGGTTAATTGGCAGTCAGTAATCTTTTTCTCCCCATCTGACTAAAGTTTGGGCTTAAACAGAGTTTCAGCTTTCACTGATACTGTGGGAGGGAAAAATACATAAATCAAGAAAGATACGCTTCTCCTCACACACAGGTCATATTAGCCAGTTATTTACCTGGTATTTATTCTAGATAATTTAATCAGGCTGAGATGGCAGATTCAGAATGTGCTAGGGTCTGTGTTAATTATAAGAGGTAAGAAGATGGATTACATATTCGAGGTGTGGATTAAAGGCTTTGAGGACTGTATTTTCTTTAATTGATTAACTATTTGTATTAAGAATCTTTTAGTTATAAGTAGCAGAGATTTAAATTAGCATAAGCAAAAGGTAAATACATGCAGGGGTATATCTCCTTTTGAATATGTTTAGATTCATAGGCATTAACAAATTCCTGTGGTTCTCTTTTCATATTGGACATGTTCTTAGGGAGGTCCTCTGTACCTCGTGGCCCTAGTGGCTTTAAGACTTTTATTTATTTATTTTTTTGGTACCGGCGATCGAACTTGGGTCCTTAGGCTTGCACAGCAGGCGGCGAAACCACTGAGCTAAATTCCAGGCCCTGCTTTAAGACTTTTAGACCAGCTTTCCAGCTCAATTCCAGAATAAGAGAGAGAAAGGGAGAGGAGGAGGTGGGGGAAGGAGAGGGGGAGGGAAGAGGAGAGAGAGAGAGAGGGAGAAAGGGAGAGAATATATTACTTTTTTGTTGCTCCATCAAAAATCTTGGAATTTTCTCTGATTGGAGCTATAGCCTCTTTTCTTTTCTTTTCTTTTCTTTTCTTTCTTTCTTTCTTTTTTTGAGACAGGGTATCACTATGTAGTTCAGGGTGTCCTTGAACTCACTGTGTAGCCCAGGATGGCCTCGAACTTGTGGTGATTCTCCTGCCTCAGCCTCCCAAGTGCTGGGACTACAAGTGTGTGCCACCACACCCAGCTATATCCTCATTTCTAACCTGATCACTGTGGCTCAAGAATTTGATGCAGTGATTGGCTTAACCCAGATTACATGCAAAATTGGAGCCAGGATTAGTCAGTCCACCAATTTACAAGGACTGAAAGTAGAGGGGATAGAATTCTAAGAAGTGAGGATATATTTAAGAAGAACTGAGTGCTGATGAGGAAAACACAGAAATCAAAGCCAGAACAGATAAACAAGTAAACAAACAAAAATGAATGAACAACTTACTATTTGTTCAAAAAAAATTTAGAATCTACACCCCCTACCCCTATTGCTTTTGCTTTTGATTTCTTCATATACCCTTCACTCTATTCCAGAATTTTGAATTCATTTCTCTAGTGGCTTTTTAACTTGTGGTCAAAGGCTCTTGCTCATACAGGTTTACATTTGGAAGGCACATTTGAGGTACCTTAGTTCCACTTCTTTTGTTGATGAAGAAACAAGATCCAGGGGTTAGGTGACGTGCAAAGCATTCACCATGAGTTAATGAGAAAATAGGAGCAGAATCGAGTTTTTCTCTACTTGCTCAATATTTTTGCTGTGTTCTCAGAGGCTTTTTTTTGTTTTGCTTTGTTTTCTTATTGAGTTAAAAATTTTGAACTTTTAAATGGTACATAACCATGTACAGATTTTGGGGTTATAGTTTGATAATTTGATGCATGTAACAGTGAATAATGGTCAAGCCAGAGCAATTATCATTTTCATCTCCTTAAATGTTCTTAACCATTTCTTCATGTTGGGAACTTTGACTCCCATCTTCTAGTTGTTTTTTTTTTGGTACGGGGGATTGAACTTGGGACCTTGCACTTGTGAGGCAGGCAGCAGCACCACTGAGCTAAATCCCCAACCCTTCTAGTTGTTTATAACATATATAATAAATTGTAAGCTATAGTCACCTACTGTGTTATAGAATATTACAACTTACTCCTCCCATCTAACCTCAGAGGTGTTTGAAATTAAAAACTCACGCAGAAGCTATTGTATAAAATTGATTTATTTTAGAGTTACTTGGTGAGTTGATCTCCATCTATGGACCATCTCCCTCCTATTCATCCCTGGTGCTGAAGCAGCCCCCAAATGAACCCCATTTGAAGACCACCTGCCTCAGAGGGTCATGTCACAGTCAGCATGTCTTCCTTAAGTGGTGGCATTGGAGCTAAGGAACAAGGGAATAGGCTTTGGAGTCAAAGAGCCCTAGGTTCATATTTTAGCAGAAAATCTGGCCTGGTTCCTTGGTCTTTTAGATACTTCATTTATAAAATAGGGTATGATAACCAGGACTGCAATATTTTCCCACCCCAGGTCACCATTCACAATGGATTCCATGGTGCATGAATGCATATTATACATGGAATACAAGTCCAGTGGGTTTGTACAAAACAATTCTACTACAGACTTGAGCTCACTGAACTTTTCTGAGGATCAAATGATGTGATATTTGGAAAATGCTTGGCTCAGTGCGAGGTAGATGCTCAAAGGATCAAAGGATCTCTCTTTGAGAACTGGCATGAAAAAGATAGGTAGAATCATTAAAAGCTGAGCTAAGGAGTTGGGAAGACAGGTGGCACTTAGTATCCTGAGGAAGGATCGCCATCTGTGAAAGATTTCAAGAGTCTTATTCCTTGGCTTGCTTTAAAATTTTTATTTTTTTGGTCAGGTAGTTTGAAAGCTGGCAGATGGTATTTCTACTCTATGTACCTTATAACTCAATGCAAACACTTAAATTACTGAATGGGATTCTACATGTATATAAGTTACTGAATATAACCAACCCCATTAATTTCTGCCATGTCTTATATAATTGAAGGAATTGTGAGATTTAGTTTTCAATTTAAAAAGCTCTGAACTATTTGAAATATTTATTTCAGCTAATTCCAGAAATCTCCTCCTTGACTTGGTTTACCACCATTGTGCCTTTGGTCCTGGTGATAACTATGACCGCTGTGAAAGATGCCACAGATGATTATGTGAGTATTTGCCATTCAACTTCAACTGTGGCTTCTCAGAAACAGAGTGGAGATCTACTTAGAATTTTAAACAAAACTTTTTTGAGTGACTACTATACAATACTCTTTTGCTATTTGTTTTGCTACCTGTTAAAACAGGTGTTGTAGAAGCAGAGCCTGTTCAAAGGCAAGAGAACTTCAATAACTAGGCTTAATTCTCTCTTATTTTGTTCAAGAGGAGACTCAAGCCCATGAAGAGCTAGCCATTTGCTAATGATCATGCAACCAGTTCATGGAAAACAAACCAGATTTAAATACAACCTGAGTTCCCCCAGTGAGGTATTATTTATTCCTTATCATATGTCTTGGTCTAGGTTTTGGAAATTGGTAAATATAGGCCCTCTCACATATTCTGGTCAATTTACTTACTAGGAGTTACAAAATCAAAAGTTTCAAAAGTCAAATAACTAATGCAAATAAGTGAGGAGGAAGATGATATACAGTTTTGAAGCCTGTATAACTCAAAGGATGTCCAATTTTAATTTTATCCAAAGACTTAAGACACAATTTTTGGAAAAACCAAACATCTTAAATCCATACAAGTTATATTCTGATTTTGGTTGATAGCATGTGTCCTAGTTTCAATAACTATTTATATATTTATATTTGAATGACATCTATCTACCTCCCAGGCCTCTCCTGTGAGTTCATATCCTTGTTTTCTGTTGTCTATTTTAACCTGTCTTTAAGCATTTAGTTGGGCAATACTTTTTGAACAAAATGAAAATCTCTGCCTTTTAATTGGAGTGCTTAGCTCATCTATGTTTAATGTTATGGTGATGATTGGGTTTGAATTTATCATCAAGCTATTGTTTTCTATATGCCCCATTTGTTTGTTGTTCCACTTTTCTACCTATATTTTATTTTATTTTTATTTTTTTTGGTACCAGGGATCAAACTCAGGACCTTGTCTACCTACATTTTAGATTAATCAACTTTTGTGATTCAATTATATATATATTATTAGCATAATATATGTATTATATATATTATATATATACTTTTCTAGGGATTAATTTAACATAGTCTAATGGGACAACTTGGCTTCAGGGTACTGACCCATATTCACTATACCCTTTGTTCCAATGTTTAACTTTTTTTTTTTTTTGGTACCGGGGATCGAACTCGGGTCCTTGCGCTTGCAAGGCAGGCGACAGAACCACTGGGCTAAATCCCTGGCCCTTGGTGCCAATGTATATGGGGAATGCAAAAATGAAATGCACACAGAAATGAAAGATTTTTTTTAAGTTTCAAATTCAGAAATGAGATGAACCCCACCAAGCCACATACTCAGATAAAATAATATTTCCATTTCTGTTGTCCTAATGGTAGGGAGAAGTTTACACATCAATGAGTAGGCTGGATAAAGATAGACATAGAGAACAATACTGTGGATTAAAAATGTCACAAAGTAATATTTTTTCTTTCTTTTTTCCCATTAAGTTTATTGGTACATTTTAGGTATACAATACAGTTACATTCATCATTGGGATCTTGTACCATTACATGATGTATCTTGGTTCTTATTTTTCCCCCTTCCCCTGCCCTCCCTTCACCCCCTGCACCCTTTCCTATTTACAAAAACTTTGTTTCCATTTTTTTCCTTTTCTCATATATTTTCTTTTCCCTTCTTTCCTTTCCTCTAGCCCTCCCATTTCCCCTACCCCTTTAGACCTTTTCTTCCTATTACACAATATCAATTATATATTTTTACATTACCAAGATTTAGAGGAAATTACCACAGATTTTACAGAATTTAAAAGGACATAGAAAGCATATTACAAAAATCTTTTTTGAAATAAATTTGACAACTTCTATGAAATACCTTGGAAGGCAATTTAATGAAACTGACTCTGGAGAAAATGTAAAATTTGAATAGAACCTATTAAAGAAAGTATATTCCTAGTTTGAAAACCTACCTATATGACAACAATAGTCTCGTATACATTTTGACTGATGAATGATATCAAACATTTAAAGCAGAAAAAAGAAGGAACACTTCTCCCCTCATTTTAGGAAATTAACATTGAGCTAATATTAAAATTGTGTAAAGATAATAGAAGGAAAAAAGTATGAACATAGATAAAAATTTGTTTAACAAAACAAACTATTAGAAGTTAGATATGGCAAGATGTAGAAAGTGGTTTTTATTATAGGGATGGCAGTGTTGGTTCAGCATTGGAAGGTCCATCCCCATAAGTCATCATTTTAACAGAGGAAAGGAAAAAGCCATACGATCTTATCAGTAGTTGCAGAAAAGGTATTGAACTAAATTCTACAGCTGTTCATGGTAAAAACTATCAGGAGACTAGAAGTAGAATAGAACCTTCTCAACAGATCAAAGATATGTACTCCATACTTCCAGCAAAAACGCCTTATGAATGGAAAAGATACAATGCTTTCTCCCTAAGCTGGGGAACAAGGGTAGATGTGCCTACTCTTCATGTACCCATTAAACTTTGAAACATAGGCCCAAACCAAAATAGTCTGGCAATAAAAAGAAACAAATAGCATAGGATTGGCAAGGTAGAAG